ACATCTCCTTCAAGCCTGGTTCCATCGCCGGCATCCGCCCGGCAGTCAACATCGCCTCGGCCAACCCGGACTTCCCTATCATCATGCAATGGACGGGTGGCCGGGCGGGCACCACTCTTACGAAGACTTCCACCAGCCAATTCTCCAGACATACTCCCGCATCCGCCAACATGACAACATCATCCTCGTTGGAGGTTCCAGCTTCGGCACAGCCGACGACTTGTGGCCTTATCTTACCGGCGATTGGTCGAAGTAGTTCGGCGTCCAGCCCATGCCTTATGGCTTCCTGTTCGCCAGTCGTGTCATGATTGCGAAGGAGGCGCACACCAGCTCCTCCGTCAAGGATCTTATTGTCAAAGCCGCCGGTGTCGAGGACGCCCAATGGGAGGGTACATGTTCCAAGGAAACTGGCGGGATCCTGACCGTTTGCTCCGAGTTCCGCGAGCCCATCTACAAGGTCGCCACTCGTGCTCTCAAGCTGTGGAAGGAGTTCGACGACACCGTTTTCAAGCTCCCTCGCGAGAAACGCGGGCCCTGGTTGAAGGATGTCGCTCGGAGGTCCTCAGCAAGTTGAAAAATGACTTCGCGAAACCATGATTTGGTTTGAAGAAGGATGGTACCGTCCAAGATATAGGGGCCCTGACGTACGAGGAGAAGGCCCTGCGTCTCGTTCGCCTCATGTACGTCGCGCACGAAGAACGCTGGGTCGACACAAATATTCTTGCGTAATCTCACTGGAGATTGGCTCCGCCGCATCGAGGAGCGCTTCGCGGGCGTGAAAGGCCTCGGCAAGAAGGCTTCTATCCTGCAGTGGCTGGACACGCCAGGCGTGTTCGTGCAGGGGTTTCTCAAGGCGTATCCCCTCACAGCCCAGTAGCTCCTTGTGCCGAAGCCTGGACAACCCTTTTTCATGTCCATCTCCCAGCGTCCCGGGCAGAAGCCCGTCCCATTCATCCCCATGCTCGACGCCACACTTGAAGTCTGGTTTCAGAAGGTAAAGAGACGTTCATCATTCTGTAGAACATCGCCACTTATGTTATGCAACAGGACTCTCTTTGGCCTGCCGAAGATATCGAGGCCATTCTCGACCAAGTGTCTGAACGTGTTTATATACTCCAGGGTCCTGTCGCGGCCAATCATGCCGTCAAACAGGACGAATCGATCAAAGAGATCCTCGAAAATGTTACACCATTCTCAACTCGTTGCCAAGCTTCTCGGACGCTCGCACAGCCGCTATGAGAGCAAGATCCCCGTCGTTGACTATGGTGCCGTCCCTGCCACCTCCCCAGCGATTCCCGGGTTGAAGTCGAGTCTCCCGAGACAGAGGACTGGCTCGAGCTCCTCGCTGGTGCTGAGCTCAATTGGTACAGGACACCTATTTGTTCTCCCACCGTCGCCCAGGGCAAAAGCTTTATTGATGACCCCCTCCACCGTCTTTTCGCTCCCCATATCAACCAGAAGGTGGCTTTTCACACCGCCTCTGGCATCTCCGATCGTGTCGCATTGTACGACAACGCGTGCTCTTACGGCGAGCACAAGGCCGTCTTCAAGGCCATCGAAGTAAAGTACAACGCTTCGATGCACGTCATTGAGGTCACCCTCTTCGAAAATCGTCACACGTCATCCGTATCTCTTCCGCTGCAGTTCATCTGCAAGCCTTCAGAGTCGTAAACTCCCGAACACAAGGTCTCGGAAGGCCAACGCATCAAGGAGTTCTATTGGTGTTTGTGACTCGGCGACAGCAAGGCTCTCCTCGCAATCAATGTCCGCGACACTTCCATTGGCCCCGAAGTCACAATTTCCGCGGTTGATATCGAGAGTGGTGTCGTCGGTAATCAGCAAGAGAAATCCCATGCAGTCCGCTCGGAAACTGCAACGGCTCTCATGGACTTCGCTCAATAAACTCCTTGATCCCATGCTGAGCCACAAGCTGATCTCAATAGGGAAATACTCAACATATATTCCATGGGTTTATTGAGATCAAAGTAGATATATACTCACACTAAACTCTCAATGAATGCCGAGATTATATCGTACTTTTCCCATAGTGTATATAGACATGATACAGTCTTGGTGTGGACGGTACACGAATAGAAACGAGAGAAATCTTAGAGAAATCCATCATGCCTCCCATACGAGGTATAGCTGCTTCCGAAGCCTGACCCAACGCCCCCACCGACCCGTCCTGACCTCACGACCTTAATTTCCCCAAAATCGACTTCAAAGGTGACGACAGCCTTCCCCGCCCCGACCACGAGCCTCCCTCCGACGCGGATGTCGGAGCCACCGCCACCGACACTCTCCTCGCCTTGTTTTCGTCCGCACCTCCACCGGCCCCCACCCGTCGTTTCGGACTCGATGCCAACGATAAACGAAATGGCGAGCGATTTTCCTTGTCCTGCTCCTTGCCCTTGTTCTTATCTTGCTTCGCATCGCTACCGCCAGAAAGCAACGAAAGCGACCTGCGACCACGGGTCTTTGCGCGCGGGACCATGTCTGGCGTTGCTGCAGGTGAATGACCCGCTGGCGTGGGGGCGATACGAGAGGGAAGCGTATTGAAGGCGCCGCTACGCAATGACTGCATTTCTAGGGGTGTGCATATTGTGGATGGATCGAGCGTGCGCCTGCGATCGGAAACGGGGGCCATCGACATGCGCCTGTTGGGCTTTTCCACGGCGAGGCTCATGCGCGCTCTCGCACGGGTCTGGGGCCCACCGGCGGCGGGCGTCTCCAGCGACCTTGGAGCAAATGATTGTCGAAGAGGAGATGGCGCCTTGAGAGATCCCCGAGTAGAGCCATCGAGAGGCTGCGCTAGTAGAGCCGTCCTGTCCTGATCCTCGGCTTTACTGGGGGGTGCTGCGAAACGGACGTTCTTGGTATACTTCAGGATACCTTGAATCCTCTTCGGATCCTGCGACGGAGTGGAGGCGCACTGGGAAGGAGTGGCCGGTGTTGGAGGTGCATGGGTTTGGACGGCGACTTTCTGCTCCGGGGTGTGAGGGCGATAGCGAACGTCGGAAACCGCGGAGACAGGAGAGAGCGGGCGTGGACTTGTGAGGCTTGATTTGTGCGATGCGGGACCATTGGCGCCGGAAGTTCGAGATCTAGGTCTGACAGGGATATCTGAAACCCTTGGAGGTCGAACTGACATCCGCTTGTCCCGCTGAGAAGGTAGCGGAGAACGGGCCTCCTTGATGGCGGGTGTCGACTTGGGGCGAATGCTGTGAGCTGCTTGAGGTTTCGGTGCAGGAACAGATATTTTCGACTTGACGGTCATAGCGCGTGTCTCCGGTCGAGAATGAGAGACAGGTGTGTTGGCCGCTGACGAAGTCTTCCTTGGAGAACTGACAGGCAAAGGATCTCCGCTGCTGGCCATAAATTCCCGGGCGAACGCCCATTCGTCGTCGCTACCGAGACATCCAGATATAGTACGCGAGGGCCCAAGAGAAACAGAAGGCAAAGAACTGGCCGAGTTGGATGCAGACACTGTGACCACAGATTTACTCATCTCGATATCTTGAGGAGTCAAAGGTTGCATATCCACGACCCGTGATCTAAGATTGTTGATCATGTCGTCCACCTCAGTAGGTGACGAGGGACCAGCTGCAAGACTGAAGAGAGGCGAATATTCCACGGGAGAACCCCTGAAAGCGGAAGGAATGCTTGGGCATGGGTCGACTTCCAAGGGGCCTGACTTCTTCAAAGTTAAGGGCGACGGAACTTTCACACCACGACGAACGGCTAGAGGGGTCGATCGAGACGGCGTTGTAACGGGGGACGGCAGGGAGACAGGCATGGTACTTGAAGAAGTTGACACTCTGATCTCTGGCACGACCATCTCTTCATCCTGACTATGACTTGCGGCAACGCTGTCCACGTCGTCTCGCATAAGGGCGTCGAAGCGTTGAGATTCCAGGCGGCTTTTAACAAGTTCGGCGCTGACGTATTTCGTGGGGCTGCTGATAGACCAACGACGTTGCTTGTCGTGGAGCGGTAGCTGGATCTTCAGGTCCAAGACATGAGATTCGCGGTGGAGGTCTGCCCGAGAGCCGAATGAAGCACGACGGAGTGGAGGCCGATTGTTGGGGTCAAGAAAATCACAGGGCAGCTGAGCGGAGACAGGGGAAACAGGCTTCGGGGAGGACGGCGAAGGATGTGTGGCGAGACCATGAGCCTTATGTTTCATATAAGACGCGGGAAGGATTGAGCCTTCGGGCATCCAAGCTCGTTCAGACTGTTGTCTTGATGGGGACCAGGAGGCAACGCCCGGGGGCTGGACCTGGGATGTCGCAGCCTAAACGAAACACGGCAAACTTGATCAGTGCACGCTCCAATAGAACAACAAGACGACAATACAGGCTCCCGCTGGCAACCTAGCCCACCCAAATGGATTCAAACGCGTCTCATGGGATCGCGCTTCCCAATGCACTCTGATACCAGCCGATGCTAGTATCAGAGGTCTCGCCCCATCATCTCTAAAAAGTACGGATCACTCACCGACCACAGTTCCAGTCGAGGCTTTAGCTTTGGTATATTCTTCAGGCGGCTTGGCGTCGGAGAGGACAAGAGGACATTTCCGCGAACTTTGCTACGGATGCCGTTCTTTGGAAGAGCGAGATTGCCCGCCAGGTTCACCATGGCACAGGAAGATTTGAAACGGGGGCTGCGAGGAAAGGGCGGTGTTTTCCTTGGAAGGTCATAGTCGGAAGCAGCCAAGGAAAGAGCAGTGATAGACTGGGCCAGAATGGGTTCGTAGTTGTCTAGAACAGGAGCTGTGGCGAGGTCGAGCGAGTTGGACGAACTTGACCTGAATATAGCGCGTGAGGGAACGAATAGTAGTGAGTCGTCGCGGGAGACGGAGAGATCCAGCCAAGCGGAGGCCGACATAGTGACACCGACGAACAAGGGCACATGGGAACTCCTTGAACACGGCGGCGGGCAAAGTTGTTGGTGTTTGGTCTCTGCGAATGGAGATACATTGCTGTCCCTGCCGGTTAAGTGGCCTGGTGGTCTAGTAGTATGATTCCTTCTTAGGGCTCCGCGCAATTTGGAGGAGGTCCCGGGTTCAATTCCCGGCCAGGCCCTTTTTGCTCATCTGGTACTTAACTTACCAGGTTGTGACGTCATCGACCCCTCATAACGATTGTTGAGGCAGCACCGCCGCAGCTCAACGACTCGATCCTTTCCTTGACCATCACCATGCCTGCGCTCTCCGATCTGCCCGTAGAAGTTCTCATCGACAACCTTCTCCCTTCAATCGCCTTGGAAGACCTTGTCCGTCTTGGGCGCACCAACAATTTTTTTGCCGCTGTGTGCTTCGATGATACCTTTTGGAAACGAAAGTGCCAGGAAGATTTCAACTTCACCAGCGCGGAGACTGCGCGCACGTCTGGGTGGAAGGCTCTGTATAAAGGGATACACCGTCCCAAACTCTTTGTCTGGGGGTGCGTAAATCCTGATCACCCCACGAGCTGGCCTGTTCCCTTACAAGACGTCACAGGGAACGTCGTAATGGAAGACTAGGATCGACAAACTTGCCCCGGGATATGGGAAATGGTGTCCCATATCCTATCGAGATCAAGATTCCCGGTGCAAGGATTGTGAGCTTGGTAGCAGGTGGCATGTGCGCATTTATACGGTACCTCGACATCTTCCTGCTGCACACTGATTCTACCTCTGCTCCATAGGTCCTTCCACGCCCTGGATTCCAAAGGCAACATGTATGTGTGGGGTGAGTATTTTGGGTCATGGCCGATCATCATCTTGTTCTCATCCACCGTCTTATAGGAGCGTTGAATGGTGAAATGGGTGGGATAAGCTACGACGGCTTCGCAGACAAGTACAAGATGGCCTCCGTCCCCCACAAGCTCATTCTACCCATGCCAATTAGAGCAGTCAGGTTTGTTTCCTCTTCCTTCCATGTCTCAACTTTCTGACGCTCTTCGTCTAGCTGCGGTCGCCTCCATGCTGTAGCCCTTGATTCTGCGTCACAAGTGTGGACGTTCACTAATTGGGGCCGTCCCTACAAACTCGTGTCTCCGCTCCTGGATTGTCACGCCCCGGAGACGACCCCCGTTCAAGTAGAAGCCGGATGGTCTTTCTGTGCCGTTCTGACTCAATCCGGTGATGTCCTGGTGTACTGGCCCTCTAGTGGCGACATATCTGTGAAATACGAGCAGCTAGAAGCGGAGTTAGGCCGAAACGATCCAAGCAGTCAGGCGCGGGCTACTGAGGACAATCGCATCCCATGTGCAGTGGTGAACGTTACAAGTAATCCCTTCTATCTCCCCTCGATCCCTCAACTACCCGATCTTTCCGAAGCGGACCCAAGTGAAGAGGAGGTAGCTGCAGAGACGAAGCTGATCAAGATTGCGGGGTTGGACAACAACTTAATAGGGTTGACGAACAAAGGGCACGTCTTGAAATTTTACAACTTGGACAACGAGGCCTTTTATCCTTCTGGACGTTGGGAATACGTATGTTGATCTGGTTCGCGTCCAAACCTGTAGAATAATCTTCGTCCAGTTACCCAAATTCTGCAACGCTGCAGAGATTCGCAAGAACTCTGCCTACAGAAACGATGGCAGCACGCTCGAGCCCCCAAAGGCCCTACGCATCACTCATGTGCCCGCCATCCCATTCTCCCCTCTGCAATGCATACTCACAAAACATATAGGTCACCGCACACTTCCACACGTTCGTCGCGTACTCTGCGGGTGCCGACTCCACCATCCTGATGGGCGGAAGTGACACGCACCCCGAGACTGACGCAGAAATCATGCCATCGTTGCAGAAGCGTTCCGTGATTTCTGTCGTGTTAGGCGACTACCATCGCGGCGCCCTCACATCGACAGGACAGCTTCTCACGTGGGGTCAGTATTCGGAGGGCGCGTTGGGTTTGGGCGACCCTCGCAAGCTGGCCGTTGGCGCACCCGGAGGATACGCGACTGAGCAGCAATTGAACAGGGCTCGGCAGCACTTCCGCAGCCCGCCCGACGTAGCTGAGCCTGCAGAAGTGCGGTTCGATCACCAGCAGAAAAACCGTGGTGGGAAGAAGTTCTGTTTTGCGGCCACAGCGAGCGGGTGGCACATGGGCGCGCTTGTCATCGATTTGGAGGTTTGTTCCTTCTTCCATAAAGTCCACGCGTCGTGCTGATCAGCACACGGTTGTAGCCGGAGCGAAATGCCGAGGACGAGGACGGGACGGAAGGCATGCCGGGGCACTTCCCAAGTGACTCCGATACACCCTTACCTGGTGGCTCTGGTCTTCCATCCACTGGTCCAGGGGATATGCCAATGTATCCGCCCCCCGTTGGAGGCGGCATGAGGCGTGGATTCAGAGGTGTCCGGGGAGGGATTTTCAGGATTGGGTATGCGGGAAGAGGGATGAATCGTGGCGCATATGGTCCGAATGGACGAGGACGAGGAGACGGAGAAGGGATGTGATTGGTATGACTTGGCGTTTTGTTTCGTTGGATTCAAAGTTAACTCGTCGCTTGAATGAAGCAGGATTTGTAACATTGATTTGAACTTGTATGTACTTATTGATATATGTAGTCGCCGGCCTGTATGATTATATGATGTCGAGTTCAACATTCGGCTTTTGTAGTAGCGGTGTCGTTTGGAGATGAACTTGAATGTGTTGACCCCCGACCCTATCGACACGGCGAGCGATTGGCAGTTGAGTGGCGTGACTGGTTTCATGTGGGCGAGGCGCGCTGGAGAAGAGCAACATGCGTCTACAACGTTCCGTCGCATGACTCGGATGTATTGCGGTGATCCAGAGATTGGCTGTGAGTGCATGTGAGTATCCACCTCACCTTCTCGTGTAGATGACATCTGGATAGCGCGTGGACCATGGGTGACAATGATTTCAGAGATTGGACGGGGGCCGACTGCCCTCGAGATCAGTTCATTCTCACGAGAAAATGACAAACAAGGATGCAATTGCTATACAGATCAGAACACGATGGATGGAATCAGTCGTACACTTCCTATCTTAACTTCACCAGCAGCACGGGTCCGAGCGATGGATGGGGCGTGGGCAGGTCCTAGAAGAATGTGCTGCCTTCCGGGGGCTGGGGCAGCTTACGGTTGTTGAACGAGTTCATCTCCCTATGTATGTTGAAAAAGAGCATGAGAAAGGAATATTGAGAGCAGCGTACCGACGGATCTCAACAAGCACGGTCTCCATCGTGTGTTCGCGGGTCCAGTGCGCCAGGACGGGGAGTTTCGACGCGTCGACACGGCCATCGGTCTGATTGACGAAAGGGAGGTTTACGCGGGAGATGAACTGGACTGTGGGTGGACGATCGGGGTAGCTCTCGCCACAGGTGATCTTGAGACTATAAATGCGGTTCTCGTGCACGCTCTACAAACACGAGGACAAAGACGATGGAGGTGAGGAGGACGAGGCAGTGGGGGAGGCGAGAGAAGGAAGAAAGAACGTACGTGACCTGGGCCGATGATGGTGCCGTTCCAGTTGCTCATGAGGATATCGTCGCCGTCCTCGAGACCGTATGAGCACGAGCCATCGCCGATACCCTTCTCGCCCTTCTCGAGCTCTTCGAGCAGGCGGAAATTACGTGGCACTGGGGGATCGCGAGCGTGGCATCAGTGCGACGATACTATCAGCGAGAAAGATCTGGGGAACGGACTTTTGGCCATTGCCAGAGATCTGAGAGGAGGAAACGGTGGGTGAGAACGAGCAGTGGCGGGTACAAGCGCTCGTGGGCATTCCGCGATTAGGTTCGGGGCCTTCGGGCTGCGCGTCACTTGCACCGCTCTCTCACCCCCTTCAAGCCGTCGCCATCGCTTTCCCTCTTACACCCAACCCTCTCGCCACCCAAGGCAACATCCAAGGCCTATAAACAACCGCCGCTCAAGATGTTCGGAGGAGGAACCACAAACCCGTACGATGACATCGTCGGTGCGTACTTTCGAACCCTAGCCCATCATTTGCCGAAACAGTCGGGTCTTTACCATCTCCGTTGGCAGCCAAGGCCACAGACGAAAATCTCACCTCAGAAAATTGGGAGATAATTCTCAACCTCTGCGACAAGGTCACCGATGAAGGCGAACAAGGGTGCGTTTCCTCGATGTGCAATATCGACATGCAAGCTGACCCACCCTTCCCGTAATCAAGGGCACGCAATGTTATAGCCTCGATAATGAAGAGAATGACGCATCGCAACGCCAACGTACAACTGTACTCACTGGCCCTGGTCGAGTCTTTGACCAAGAACTGCGGAAAGGACCTACACAGCGAGGTTGCGTCGAGAGCATTCACTCAAGCTCTGGAACGAATAGTTACCGACAGGGTACGTCGTTCTGTCACTGTTGATGCGGTATAACTGCTTACAGTTCACATAGACCTCTCACGACAAGGTGAGGCGGAAGGCGTTGGGGTTGATTAGTATGTGGACGGCCGAGTTCGAGAACGACCCCACTCTGGGGATCATGGAGGAATGCTATGAGAGCCTCAAGGCGAAGAGTGAGGGTTGAACCGTGCATGTCTGCACATTCGTCTAACGCTCTCTAAAGACTACAAATTTGAGGCTCCCGATGAGCCACCTCCCCCGGATGTCGACGACGAAGTGCGCCGGCGCGAGGAAGAGGAACTCCAACGCGCGCTCGAAATTTCCGTCAACGACAAGGGTGGTCGTGCCCAATGGGGGCAATATTCTCTCGCATCGTCCAGTGGTGCAGGTGGCTCAGGCTCAGGCTCTCGGAACGGTTATCAAGCAGCGTCGTCCTCGGGTCCCTCTGGCGGCTCCTCCTCACAAGCGCGTACCGAGCCAGTTCGACAGGCCTCTTACAGTGGTGGTTACGTCCCCTCAGAAACTCCATCTTATACAGCGACGCCAATGCCATCTTATACGGGGACTACATCAGCACCGTCGTACACTGCGTCGACGCCTGCCGTGGCCGTCAGTCAAACTTCACCGCAAACTGCTTCCAGCCCTGCTCCAAGCATCACGAGTACCATCGTCACGCGTGTTCGAGCCCTTCACACTTTCGAACCCACCGAGCAGGGAGAGCTTGCGTTCGACAAGGGCGATGTGATCAAGGTTGTGGACCGTGG